AAGATAGTCATTTGTTTATCATCTGTAATCGCAGGAAACCAGTGCCGATCCTGTAAAACACTGTTCCTCCTTAATTGCTAATATGATTTATTTAAGAATTAATAACAATAGTACACCTTCGTTGTTTTCCTTGAAAGGTCATAAATTTTCTCCCTATTTTTTTTTTTTTGTTTTGAAAAGTGTTCCAAAAAGCATGTGCTTGGTACCAGGTAGTGAATCTGGTTAGGCTCCCAAATAAATGAATCGAAAAAAAAATGGAGATAACTATACACAAATATATATATATATAAACAAAATTCTTCAAATAAAGTTAGGTCTTTACATGAAAATGTCTTGAAGCTCCTCGTGTGACATCACATACATAAGTGTTTGCTCTTCTCCTCTTTCTTCTTTGAGAAAAACCCATATACATTTATAAACAGATGCATATACGGAATAGAAGAGCTGTATAGAGAGATCGATAGTTTTAAGAATTTTCTGTCACGGATGCCCCTTTTGTAATTATTATTATCAATTGAGGTGTTTAACATGTTTCTTTCCTGTTTATATAGGTGATCTTCCTTCAAGTGGATCCTTAAATCCATATACATTTATAAACAGATGCGTATACGGAATAGAAGAGCTGTATAGAGAGATCGATAGTTTTAAGAATTTTCTGTCACAGATGCCCCTTTTGTAATTATTATTATCAATTGAGGTGTTTAACATGTTTCTTTCCTGTTTATATAGGTGATCTTCCTTCAAGTGGATCCTTAAACCCATATACATTTATAAACAGATGTGTAAACGGAATAGAAGAGCTGTATAGAGAGATCGATAGTTTTAAGAATTTTCTGTCACAGATGACCCCTTTTGTAATTATTATTATCAATTGAGGTGTTTAACATGTTTCTTTCCTGTTTATATAGGTGATCTTCCTTCGAGTGGATCCATAAAAATGATGCATCTTGAATGTTTGTCGTTGGATATTTTATTATGGGATCCAAATAGTCAGTCATCTCTCCCTTTAGAAGAGGGGCTGGTAGTGACCAGATTAAAATTAACAGGAATAGCAAGAGAAAGGCAATTTGGTGGTCTGGAGTCATTAAAGAATATATCGCAGGATGTATTTAAAACTCAACCTGGGGAAGTAATTTAGATTTCAATTTTGACGAGCAAGGCATTCTTTCTTCACATACCCAAACGATCAGGAACAAGAGTCTCTCTCTCCAATGAAGACAAGGATGATATACATAAAGAAGGCTTGCATTTCCCATAGAAGGGAGACGTATTCCACATCATCTGATGAAAGGAATGTATTCCATCTTCTCTAAGACTTCCACGAATAGCAAAATATAAATCATATCCAAGGACTCATTCCAGAGAAAGTTTAGAGTCGTCTCATCATTCATCCAAAAAGATATAAAGACTTTTCGAAAGGAAAATTCCAGAGGGAAGGGCTGGTTCTGATCTCGATGGCGATGAGTACCTTGATCGTTTCGTTCTTAACTGTTGTCTCGTTTCTTTTAGGTTTTGATAGGAACAAAATCAAGTAAAAGGATTGTATCTGACATTTCATATGTTCAAACTTACGCAGTAAGACTGCAAGCCTAGGGAGAGAAATCGTCCATTGAATACAAGAAATTAAAATTGCCACAAGTATTTTCTTCTTAGTTTTGGTTTCAAAACGCCTTACAAGAAGAGATTAAAACAATAACAAAGTGTTTGTTAGTCTTCATTTCTTTAATCCGCCTATCCTTTCTCACGAATTCCCTGGCGATACCAGTTAATTTCAATTTGGCAACAGCCAGCATCTGGGACTTTGACCATGCTGCCACTCTAGTCACATCCGCTAATGTATCAAAGAATTCAGATATTTTTGGACCTTTTATATCTCCCGAAAATACTGGCAATAAGGGAATCATTCCACCCAAACCGCCTAAAGTTATTGGATTACCAGCTAACGTAGCTCGCGGAGGTTCTTCCCTATCTCTATCCATGTTTCTAAACTTTTTTCTAATTTATTTTAAACTTAAAATTATCTTAATATTAATCGACTTAAAATCTTAAAAATCTCTTTTCTGAATCAGATCTCTACTCTACTACTCTACTCTCGAGATTTTATTAGGGGATTTTAAGTTCTCAACCCCACTCCTGAAAACCAGATGTGAGATCTGCCGGGGGTACTTATCTACTAAGATAGTTAATACCACTTAATCGACGGCTAGTTGGTGAAACTAGTCTCATTCGTCCACAAGAATGGCCTTTCCCAAACTTAGGGAAACGAGTGTGGAGGGCTTTACTGTTAAATTATAATTTAGAGCGAAAGTTGGTGATGGCGAATTCACCTTCTTCCTTATGTCAGGGTCTATTCTTAGCCTATACCGGGTCGAGAGAGAGAGCTCACAATTTATTCCTAAACATACGACCTGTTTACTTGGCAGTGTCATCTTCTTATTCGGCGAAGGAACTTCATAGTTTTCTTAGGATTAACTTGACAGGGTATGACGATGGTGTTGGTCTGCTGGCATATGTGTGTGGAGTCCTTTCCACTCTCCGATCTTAAAGGACGAACTCTTAAGGATGTTGGCCTTAGAGAGCAAATGAGTGGAGTCTCGTCACTCTCGGATCTGCCGAAGAACTCCCCGAATTCGGCTGAACTTCGTCGATATCTTCCCATTTACGACCAATCATTGTATTCGGATTTTCCCACGTGGACGGATGGGAAGGGGTAGAAATGAGGGATAAACAGTTCCCATCGAAGCGAGATTTTTAGCAGATAAGGGAAAAAGAGAGGATGCTCATACTTCCGTCAAAGGAAGTGACTCTCCTAGCTGTTTTCCCACGCTAGAAAAACGTTACTTTTCCATCAAAATAAAAGAATATTTTATGACAAAATTTTAATAATATTTTTAAATTATTATTTTAGACCCGGTGTTATTCGGATCTCACAAATGGTTTCTGACTACTGTATTTTTATTTTACTTTCTTGGTTGTTATAACGTGGGAAAGTATTGTACTGTAATTTGTCAAATTTGATCCCCAGGTTTTTTTGCAAATCTCAACAATAAGACCTTGTGAACCCAAAAACGTGAAAAAAAGGGAATTTTGAGGGTGCACATGCATGATAGCATCCATTTCATTTTATATATCAAGATGGAGTTGTATTTGGCATGGTAATTTGTATTGATAATACCGATATGAATATATTGTGCTATTTTTTGATACCCCAAATTTTAAAAGCACTTGTCAATAAATTTCAAAATATCAATTGCCGTTTTAATTTTCTTTTTGCAATGAAGTATTTTATTTCTACTAGTCCTCAAAACTACCACTGCAGGAGAAACAATATATTTGCGAAGATCTAAATAACGAAAATAGGTGGACAGATCGATTATCATTTATGTTTCCTTTTGATTATTTCTGAAAGGAAAGTTCTAAAATTTTTATACAGTAGTAACTTTATTTTGCTTTTTAGAGCATTCTTACTTTGTAATTTTATAAGTTTTGATTTTTACATTCTCAATATTTATTTTTTAAATTTTCAATTACTGTATTTATAATTTCTATTGAAAAATATAAATTATACGAATTTTTAATAAGCGATTTATTGTGAAATAAATACAGTACTGAATAATAAAGTCGCAACTGGTATTTTGTTTTTATATCGACAGTATTTGTCTTAAAATATCATTGTTAACTCTCCGCCTGTGGGCACTAAGAGGGCCTCTTTTTGCAGGCCCATTGTGGGTTCGGCCAGGCCCAAAATGGGGCTGCCGGGTGGTGAGGGACGGGGCCCGACATAGCTGAACGGACCACCCCTCGAAAAATTCCTGGGGATTTTTTCGACCCGTTCGAATCCCCGGATCCCCCAGAGCGGTAGGCTGCCACCTTGACCGATCGGCCATCCGGCCGCTTATAATTAGAGACTATTGTATAAAACTTGAGAGTAAAGAACTTGCGGCGAGATAGAAGGGGATCATGTGTCATATATCATATCTTGAGTTGAGTCAGACTTAATCAAACTTATTGGCATTTACAATATTTTTATGCCTTTTTATAAAAACCAAAAGTATAAAAATTATTTTTTAAAAAAGGCCTGCCATATATTATAATTCTATTTTCTGTTTTTTTTAAATATTCATTTTAGTTGAAACACAAAAAANATAGGTGGACAGATCGATTATCATTTATGTTTCCTTTTGATTATTTCTGAAAGGAAAGTTCTAAAATTTTTATACAGTAGTAACTTTATTTTGCTTTTTAGAGCATTCTTACTTTGTAATTTTATAAGTTTTGATTTTTACATTCTCAATATTTATTTTTTAAATTTTCAATTACTGTATTTATAATTTCTATTGAAAAATATAAATTATACGAATTTTTAATAAGCGATTTATTGTGAAATAAATACAGTACTGAATAATAAAGTCGCAACTGGTATTTTGTTTTTATATCGACAGTATTTGTCTTAAAATATCATTGTTAACTCTCCGCCTGTGGGCACTAAGAGGGCCTCTTTTTGCAGGCCCATTGTGGGTTCGGCCAGGCCCAAAATGGGGCTGCCGGGTGGTGAGGGACGGGGCCCGACATAGCTGAACGGACCACCCCTCGAAAAATTCCTGGGGATTTTTTCGACCCGTTCGAATCCCCGGATCCCCCAGAGCGGTAGGCTGCCACCTTGACCGATCGGCCATCCGGCCGCTTATAATTAGAGACTATTGTATAAAACTTGAGAGTAAAGAACTTGCGGCGAGATAGAAGGGGATCATGTGTCATATATCATATCTTGAGTTGAGTCAGACTTAATCAAACTTATTGGCATTTACAATATTTTTATGCCTTTTTATAAAAACCAAAAGTATAAAAATTATTTTTTAAAAAAGGCCTGCCATATATTATAATTCTATTTTCTGTTTTTTTTAAATATTCATTTTAGTTGAAACACAAAAAATTATTCATACGCAAATATTTATTTTTGATTTATTAAATAGATTAACAATTAATTTTCCACCAGAGGGCGTAAATTTAAACATGTCAGCCACCATTTGATTAAAACGGATGCAAGATAAAGGTATTAAAATCTTTTATAATTTCATTTTAGCCTTTATAATATCATTTTAAAATTATATATGAAAATAATTTAGAAAATTATTCGTTTTTTAATTATTTTAATCATAGAAATTGTTTAAAATAGTTTTTATTTTCGTTATCCGCCCACGTGAAAAATTAATAAAAGAAAATAGATGTAAACAATGATGTCGAGGATTTAAATCTTATAGCAGATATTTATAGGAGAGTTCATTTATTATTATTTTTTTTTAATATTTAAATTTAACACACTATCAAAAATGAGTTCACAAATTCCCTCGTATATCTTTTACAGAATCAATGATGCAAAGTCAAAATATTGTTTTGCATAGAATATTCCCATTTTGGTTTTCTTACATTTTGTATCATATTTTTTTCCCCTAATTTCACATATTTTTCTATCGTCTTGTGCATTATTTCATCAACTGCTGACATGTAACTATGTATTCTCTAGGAAAATGAAGCTGAGCTCCGTGGTGTAGATTTTTCTGTTTTGGCTTGATAGGAACACAAATATGGCGATATGCATCTACCGTTCTATCTAAAGCAGTTTAAAACTCGCAGGTATGGGGAGGATGTGCATGTTTGTCATAATACCGACAAATACATCAAGATACAGTGGAACCTTACTTAACGAGCACCTCTCATAACAAGTAATTACTTGTTATTATTGCATAACGAGCAAGACAAATTATAAAAAAGTCACGAGAAGAGGGGAAGTCCTGGATTCTGTGCATGTTATATCGCTTTGTGTTTAGCACTCGTTCTGCTTGCATCTTAGTGTCGCTTGTGATCAAACATTGTGACCAAACTTGTGTTCGGACATATTACATATAAACATCAATGACCATAGTTCGTTACGATATGCCAAACGATATGCCAAATTCTTGGGCTATGTAAAGGCTATAATTAAATATTAGAAATTGAGTAATTTGACTAGAAGTAGGCAGTTATGCTGTCATCATGTATTAAATTTAATGACCAATTCCAAATTAAATTTTGATTTTTTTTTTTGTTTTCTGCAAATCAAATTTGCATTCCAGGTTGCTTCATTCTCTGCTAGAAGAAATAATGATGATTTGTGCTCTTTAACAATGTATATTGTATAATTTTCTTTGAATAAACGTTATACATAAAATGTTTGTGTATTTTATTTTTGGCATGGAATTCATTATCGTATTTTACATTAATTTATATGGGAAAAATTGTTTTGCTTAACGAGTAAGATTCTGGAACGAATTATGCTCGTTAAGTAAGGTTTCACTATATGTTTAAAATGCCCATATGTGCAGCCAGCTGTCTACTAACTTCATCGACTGGTTAAAATATGCACATGTGTGAGTTTTGAAAAGTTAATTTTGTTATGACATTGTATATGTGAAATATTCTTGGTAAACATCAAAATAAAAAGTTGTTGTAGATATCAATGTAAATTAACAGCATTTGTAAACATGACTGATATGTAATGTGTGATGAGCTTATGATTGGCAACCCACCCATAGAGTGTATGTGGAGAAATTTGACCTGGAATATTTCAGTCCATACATCAAATTTCAAAATTCCAGCTTCATCATGATATTGGCTTTGCCAAGTTGTACATACAATCAAGTCTGCATAAGTTGACACCCCAAGGGAAATGCTATAATTATATTGTTGCTATATATTGTTATTTGTAGTAATGTTTAATTATATTGCGGATCTAAGCCCAAAATTGATGAATAGAATAATGTTCAAGTAATATTAAAAGAAAAAAATTTGTATGTATATTTTTTGTAAAGGGGAAAAATACCTCTTTTTTAGAAAAATGTTTGTGTCTTAATTTTATCATTGTCATTTATAGCAATATTTTCAACATATTACATTTTACGCCCAGTACTGTTGGTTTAGTAGAATATATTTTTTTTCGAAAAAACCTGTACGTATAATATTTTGAAAACTTTATAAGTTTTTTAAAACTATTTATATGTCATTTTATGATTTTTATGATTGTGTTATTATTGATTATAGCAATTGTTAAATCATACTGCGATTCATACCAAGGTAGGCAATATAATGTGATAAAATGAAAGTGCCGTATCAATGTAACAATCTAACTGAAGATAAAGGGAAATGTGTAAATTCCTTAAAGGTATTAATAATGTGTTTATATTATGTGACTTAACATCTAGATACTTCGTTGATTTTTTAATCTGTATATTTTTGTCAACTTAATTTCTATAATTGTAATTTATAGAACACTGAAGAGGAATTGGAAATATGAAACCAGTTCGAAATGCATATGTAAAAATATAATAAAAGAATTCATTAACCTGATGCTGTAAGATAGTCTACTGAAAGAATTTGTCGGATTAAATAGACAACCATTCACAAACGAATATACAGCTTTAACCAGTAAATTCAACCCCGAGGGGAAGTGGAAATGTGTTGTGTTATCTGATATGATGACTAAAACTAAAACAAAGTTGAAAAAAAACCACAAAACTACAATTAGGAAAATACAGTAGTGCTTTATACAGTATATGCAATGTATCTCTCTGACCATCCATCACTGGCACTAAAGTTGTTTTCTACTCCAAGTACCTCAGTGATTTCCATCACTTTTTGTTTCAGTATCGGTCCTGAAATGGGTAGATTTGATGAATGAATTTGTTTTAGTCAATGTACCAGAGCATCTTTGACATCTTTGTACAGTGACTTTCTCTGGTGTTTTGAAGACAGCCACATCGAAGAACCAAGAAAAAGTTTCTTAATTTCCTCTTTTTTCTTCAGAATTCCCACCAATGTGGTTCTTCAAAGGTTTTCTTGGTTTGCAAATTTGGCTTGTGAAGTTTTATTACATTCAAATTCAGATACATACAAGTTCATATTTTTCTTTCAACATAAGTGTTGTTAGATTTTGGATACTCATTTCTAACAGAAATGTGAAACACTTGGTGCAAATAATGCATGAGTGAAAAGTGCGAAAATGCAAAATTGGATTCTGCTGTGATGGTAACAGTGGCGTGCTGTCCATGGAAGCTGCAGAAATGCTGCTTCCCTTGTAAAAATACAAGGGAAATATAAATACATATTGTGCGATTATTTTTATATTTTAACGTACTTTGAATTAATTAAAATTAGTATGTTATTATAACCGCATTATGTTTCTTATTACAAATGTATTCTATACATGTGAAAAACAATAAGATTGCTATTGTATATTTGAATATAAATTCATATATGCATATTCTCAATGGAAGTGCTGTATTGTCGAATATGGGATAGCTTCCATGGCGAAAATATTTGAATGATATAAAGCAGCCAGATTATAGGTGTTTGTGCATGTGCTTTACAGAGCACCAACCTCATACTGTTTAGCTTGTGAATGCTACATAATATCGTATAATGCTTCCAATGATTCTATCCAGGGTCAGCACAGTTTCCCTATCATCAAATGTCACCGCACACCACTAGATGTTAAGCTGTATGGTGTGAACTCATTTTTTTCAGGAGGGAAGTTGACTTATCCGACATCTAAACGAAAAGTATGTCAATTTATCCAGTGGTAACAAGTTAAATGGTGTTGAGTAAACCAGAGTTTTTTAACATTAATGCCTATGTAAGTCAGCCAAAACCACAGAAAATTGGTCAGAATGCTCTGACCATTCAAAAGGCGTGATCAGAAATCATTCAATGACAGTTAAATTCTGCTTGGCAAAAGCTGTCTCTCTCCTGCATTCAGGGAGATGGAGATGAGGTCCCTAAAATTATGGATGAAATTGTAACAATTGCTAGAGATTTTGAATTGGAGGTGAATGAAAATGACATTGAAGAGTTCATAATGGAACCTGAAACTGATCTGACATCAGAAGAACCTCAAGAACTCTTGAATGAAAAACCAAGAATTTCAGCGAGATGTGTTTTCTTCTGAAAAACAAAAAGAGGACCAAAGCAGACATTTGCAATTAAAGATCTTTTAAAGAAGTGAGAGGATGTCGGAATAATGGTCTTAGAATGGCATCCAAGCTAGGTTCAGGATAACAGGCTTGGGGATCTCTACAATGACAATGCTATTAATTCTGAAAAATCCTGAAGAGGGAAAAGCAATCAATATTGGACAGATTCTTTAATGTCCAATAAACAGAAAAAAATAACTGATAAAAATTCAAGACTGTGTATGTATATATTATTATACAAATAAATAAACGTAGTAAGAAAGTATATAATTTTTATTTATTTTTTGGGGTCTATAGAAGGAATTAATCAAATTCCCATAAGAATCTATGGTAAATCGATAATTGGTTAATAAACAATTTGGGTAACTGACATGGTCTTGGAATGGATGATGTTTGTTAACCGATCACCCACTGTACTATAAAATTACATTTTATTACTTATATTTTTCCCTATTTTGCTGAGGAAATATCTATATATTTGAAATTAAAACATCATGAATATTTATTGAATCACAAATTTTAAAAATATTTCATTCAGAATTATTCTTTTTTTCTTGCTTTGTGGACAATCCATTCCACAAATTTAATTATAAGTATTAATAATGCATTAGCACTCATATGGTTGAATGTAGACTATTTCATGACAAACCAGTCAAAAAAATCATTGTCAGAGTGTATATATTAAGATATAAGCACTGAATTCTTAATGCTCTATCTCAGCGTTTCTTAACGGGGGCCGCGGCCCCCTGGGGGTCCGTAAGAAGTTTTCCGGGGGCCGCCAAATTCTGCAAAATTTCCTTCAGAATATAATAAAAAGAAAATTGATGTATAACCGAATATCATATTGAAAAGTGAAATAAGAAAGATAAAGTTTTCGTATTTAGTTTTTTTTTATTTATTTCTTATTTCTTCCTACTTACAACTTTGTTAGTACAGAAGAAATAAATGCAAATATGCTACTTACACTGCAGTATTTACTTCTTTTATTCCAAAGTAATTCTAAGAAACTATTAATGCTTGGAATTTTAAAAATAAAGCAATAATAAAAAAATCAATTTATTATAGATAATTTAACAAATATAAATTATTATTTTAAAAATGGAGGTCACATAAAAATTATGAAATATTTGGTGGGCCGCGAGTATAAAAAGGTTAAGAACCACTGCTCTATCTCCCTCATTGTTAGTGTATGCTTTATGCATAAAAATTTATTAGTATTCAAAAATATTTAATATACTGTATTTGTTGGCTTATAAGATGCTGCAGTTTGTAAAACATCCTAATTTCAGAACAGTAAATTTAAGAAAAAACAAATAAAAAGCCAATATAGAAAGGGATAGGATTGTTTCGTTTATTATTTTAGTATTATTCAACTTCAGATTTGTTACTGACATAATCATTATTCTCAACATTATTATTATCATCACTTTGCTTTCTTAATATGTTTGTCATTGATTTGGACATGAATGTATAACTGAAATTTACTTGTTATTGTGACAACATCCTGGTAATTGGGCTGCAATTTGAAGAAAATTGTAGACCTATAAATTCCCACTGTCGTTCAACCATCTGTCTTTTCTTAATCTCAAGAATGGAATTAGACAGATGAAATTTGAGACCAGATATGGAAACCTTAGGGGCAGGAGGACCTGAGTGACTATATATGAACTTCTAGTTTGCACTGGAAGTTGTGTTATTTCAATTCAAAAGTTTTCCTTTGAAAGCAGTTAATAGATGATTGACACGACTCTGTTGTTAAAGGAAAAGTATGATGTACTGTACAGGAGGAAGATACTAGGGGGAATTTGAGGTGAACAATTTATATTTTAAATGAAATAAATTTAAAATATGATAAAAAATTGCAGCCCTGCATTGTGACGATATCACAATAAATAATCACTAGTTACTGATTACTTGTTTGTCATAATGTTAACTATACTACCTACATTTTGTCGTTTGCTGACTTCTTAGATCTTTTGAATGTGCTGTATTGCAGCTTTTGGCTTTTAAGATGGAGGACAATTTTTTGAAGGCATTTATAATGAAAATAGTGTCTCTATAAGCTGACAGATACAGTGATTAAAAGTAAACATAAATTTCAATTGTCTATTAGAACAAAACTTCATAAAATGGATAGTTTTTAAAGATATTATTTTGATTGAATTAATTGATGCTTAATTTTTATTATTGTATAGAAATTATTATGGATATGAAATAATTTGTATATTTAAATTTCATTTTCAGTAATTTACTATGTAAGCATTTATAAAATGCCATTGAGTGATGAAGACCAAAAGAGCACTGTATCGGAGGAAAGATCTGCTGATTTCAATCATACTGATTGGTATGATATTTATGGTCTATCAGTTACTTTCAATGAATCAATTGGGAGAAAATTCACTTGAAAAACAATTTAAGGAAGATTCAAAAAGAAAGCATCAAGAACAGATTCTCGAAGAATTAGATAAATCAATAAAATCTCTAAATATAATCATTGGTGTCTTACCTCAGAATCAAAAATTTTACCAGAATACATCAAACTACTTTAAATGCCTTGATGGCAAAAATGAAATTGTTTTTTCTCAAGTGAATGATGATTATTGTGATTGTAAAGATGCTTCTGATGAACCAAGTACAGCTGCCTGTTCAAATGGCCGGTGAGTTCAAAAATCTTACTATTTTCTGAAGAAATCAAAACATTTAAATATTGAAGATTTAAGATATTGATCCTTTACTATCCTTATTTTATTGATGGTAGTAAAGCATAAAAGTTAGCTTGTCAGTCTGCAGATCCAGGTTTGAGTCCAGGTTGATTCAGAAATTTTCATGGATGGGTTGATGTAGATAAGTCAAACCTCCCTTTGCCATCAATCCACCTCTATTGTGATCCTAGCCGAACCTAAGATGGCTAAGGAAAAAGCCTTCTTAGTGCTTTAAAAGTTAAAAATTAAAAAGAAAATTCTTATTCTATTAGTTGGAATAAGGATTTATTAATAAAAATTTAAGAATAATTATAGATTTTGTACAATTTTTTTAAATTATAGCAAGATTGCATAAAAAATAAATAAGGATTATTTTAATTGTTTCTGAGCTCCTAGGTTTAACTTCTTTATAGGTATTATACATTTACAGATAGAGCCAAAATATTATTAATGAGTAGTGTGATAAAGCTCTTAAGAAGGCAAGGTCCCCAATCATGGCTGGGTATGACCATGCATTAATGTGGCCCTATTGACATGTATTATATACACTAACCCTTGATTTACACAACTTTTGTGGAATTAATCTACTATATAATTAAGGATTAGATGTAAATTCTTATATCTAATAATGATAGCATTAGAAATTTTCATTTAATCATTGTTTTTAATTTTTAATATAAAGTGAAACCTCAATCTATTGTTCCCAGCTATATCATTTTCTCAAAAAAACCTTTGCTTTGCAGAAAAGGTTTTGTGAATTTTGAATGTCTGCAGTTGCAATTTTTATTTCCTATCATTTTCCCAGAAACATTGATTTCTAGAGTTTCTCAATGAAATCTATTTAAATTGTGAAAATTAAATCTGCATTAGTTATTGTTTGATATATTTTCTCTTCATCTCTTGGCCAGAATTTTTAGTCTTGAAGAACATTAATCCTGGAATAATTATTTTTAAGAAAAAGAAATGTTGTATACACAGAAATGTTGTTATGCATCAGTAACAGTAGTTGATGTTTTTAAGCCGTTGATTCCCTCAGTTACTTAAGTACAGACATTCACCCCACTACAATCGGAACTTACCCATAACTCCTCCCTGCTCAGTAGAATATAGCCCTCCGTTTAACATCTAGATTGTAACATCGTGAATTAGGGTGCAAAACTTCTACCCTAGCTAGTGTCAGTCCTGATGTCAGAAGGATCCTGTGATCCCAATGACATTTTATAAAAAGCCATTCAGTGACTCAGTGAGCAAGTCTTAACAACCTGATGGACCAAAGGGATTACGAGTAACATTGTAACATCCCAACAGTCTCAGACTAGCTTTGTATCTTATTATTCAATAATAATTTTAATCATGTTTATAAAATGAATTTTATTAATTTATCAAATTGCCTTGGAATATAACAAATAATATGAACAAGAGTATTGCATTAAAAATTTATAAAGTAATATTTTAAGTAATCACAAATTCTGCACTTGACATAAACTAGATAAAAAAAAAAGGGGGAAGTAATGAATGCACATGTTTTCTGATACAAATATAGGGGAGTATAAGTTAAATATAAGTTATCTACTTTGGAATGTTTAAAAATTGCCAGTATGTATGGATTTTTAGATTTCTCAAACTTGTTTCATAAATATATTCAAACAGAAAAAGTATAATTAAAATTTTTTTTTTGTTTTGTTTTATACACAGAATTTTTTCCAATTAAATTTTAAATATTAAAAATATAAAAGTGCAAAGAAATAAAATTATAATTTCTATTGGTGAGTTGATCATCACTAAGGTGACTGTTGCTGAGTTGACCATGTCCCAAACCGGTGCCAAGTTTTACCAAAGTACTTTATATATTTGAGCATATCAGAATGTATCTGCAAGCTCATGACATCACTGAAAGAGACAAGGCAAACATTACAAATATTGAAAGTTTATTGTTCAGTTTGAAAAGGAAAAGTGAATAAATGAAGCTTAATGACTTTTTTAAAAAGAATTATGTAATGTATATTGGACTTGACAATGGAAAAAAATTTCATTGGTATACATTTTTTGATTTAGTAAATACAGAAAAACGTGACCCTTTTTTTATATTATATAAGCTTCCAAACGTATTGTTTTCTCTTATCCAAAGTTTTCTTTCATGTCTTTCAACAAAAACAATGAATTGAGGTTTTACTGTAACTTATATAAGATAGATTAACTATTATAAGGTATATTCCATTATAAATGAGAAAGTAAGTGTTAATTTGCTGTTATAATTTAAGTAAGTAAATAGAGATGTACCAATTAATCGTTTGGTATTCATTAATCATTCATTCATTCAAATAGGCTCCTCTACCAATTAGTCATCAAGTGATGATTAATTCTCTAATAATCAAAGTAATCAGTAAATAATAATAATGGAAAAAAATTATGTTTAAAGAAACTCTAGCTTCATTAATAATGATAATTCCAGATAATTATTGAATAGATACCATCTAGTTTTGTTAGAAACTGCTAGCTTTTTGTATCTCTGTTTTTGGTTTGAAATTTTTATTCAAACAGAAAAAGTATAATTAAAATTTTTTGTTTTGTTTTATACACAGAATTTTTTCCAATTAAATTTTAAATATTAAAAATATAAAAGTGCAAAGAAATAAAATTATAATTTCTATTGACCATGTCCCAAACCGGTGCCAAGTTTTACCAAAGTACTTTATATATTTGAGCATATCAGAATGTATCTGCAAGCTCATGACATCACTGAAAGAGACAAGGCAAACATTACAAATATTGAAAGTTTATTGTTCAGTTTGAAAAGGAAAAGTGAATAAATGAAGCTTAATGACTTTTTTAAAAAGAATTATGTAATGTATATTGGACTTGACAATGGAAAAAAATTTCATTGGTATACATTTTTTGATTTAGTAAATACAGAAAAACGTGACCCTTTTTTTATATTATATAAGCTTCCAAACGTATTGTTTTCTCTTATCCAAAGTTTTCTTTCATGTCTTTCAACAAAAACAATGAATTGAGGTTTTACTGTAACTTATATAAGATAGATTAACTATTATAAGGTATATTCCATTATAAATGAGAAAGTAAGTGTTAATTTGCTGTTATAATTTAAGTAAATAAATAGAGATGTACCAATTAATCATTTGATATTCATTAATCATTCATTCAAATAGACTCCTCTACCAATTAATCATCAAGTGATGATTAATTCTCTAATAATCAAAGTAATCAGTAAATAATAATAATGGAAAAAAATGCTGTTTAAAGAAACTCTAGCTTCATTAATAATAATTCCAGATAATTATTGAATAGATACCATGTAGTTTTGTTAGAAACTGCTAGCTTTTGTACCTGTGTTTTCAGTCTGAATTTTTATTCAAATTGGAAATGTTCTATTATTGTACTAATAAATTTTTAGAAATGTGTATTTTTTTAAGGACTAGGCTTTAATCTTATTCAATCTTATTTTTGAAATAAATTTTTGTTTTTAAACAAGTAGATTATTTTATACTTATTAGCTACATTGCACTTGAAAGGTCTGATGTGTGGAAGTAATTGTGACATATGTTAATTACTTTATCAGTTAATAATGGAAAAATATGACCATCACAAATATTAAAGTTATTGTGTCTATTTGCTCTAAATGACATCAGTATAGAATTGCTAAGAAAATATATAATATGTATTCTACATTAACAAAGATAATGAAACTTTATCTTGAATCAATGTCAAGAAATTTATATGGAAATAGTACAATCAAAATTATCACATTAAACTAAGTACACTTTATTTGTACTTATTTTTATTATCTGGATGAACTTGTCCAATGTTTGGGTTGACCTCTCAATTGAACACTGGACAAAGGTCACAAGATGGATAGATCCAGACAATTCAGCTCAAAACCAGATGATCAGTAACCCTAGCTATTATGGATAGGTTAAGTTATTGATATATTGATTACCCAAGAGTAGGAGACAATTACTAGAGGCATTAAGAGAACAGAGGAAGAGAGAATATATAGTGGTCCAGCATTTGTAATTTAAGAATCCCAGTTATCTTATGAATGTAGTTGTTACTTATGTGCCAGTTGTTAATTGCATAACCAAGCATGTAGTTTTCCTTCTTAGTATCTTATATAGCAAGCAAGCAAGCAGGCAATTTGGACAAGATGCTAAGCAACAGAGATTCTGATTTCTTTTATTATGTGAATATAAAACCATGCTAATTTTTTTTATTACGGTGATGTGATCATGCAATGTACCTGCTAATATACTGAATAAACAAATAGGGATTGTGGTGTTTCTTACTGACCAGTATAAGATATTTAAAAATTACTTGAAGAAAATTTGTTAACAATTATAAAATTCCAATTAATCATTCATTAATTGGCTAACTTGATAATTATCTCATTCTTGTCTAATACTTTAAGTTACCATTTTCAGATTTATACATTATTTAAATGGACACTTTGAATTCAAAAAACATTCTAAATGATGTGTTTATTAAATACAGGCAATGTGATCTTTTATTTTATACAGGCTTTGAATTCATAGAGATTTCCCATGCATGGAAGGCCTCTAAAGACTTGAGTTCATAAAGTTTTAAAATGTTTAAACCTACACAAAAATTAAGATTAATATTTACAGACTATTTAGTTATACATATAAGCTACAGAATGTGTGTATAAATCTGAAGATAATCACCTAAAAGTGAATGTTTTTATAATAAGTTATTGGTGAATATGTTTTTGATGTTTTTGTTATTATTCAGTATAGGAGTAATTTAAAATAAATTATATATGTCTATATTTATTTTAATTTTATATTTTCATTTTTTAAGCTTTTACTGCAGTTACCAAAATAGAAAAAATCCAGTATTTATTAAGTCTTCCCAGGTGAATGATGGTATATGTGATTGCTGTGATGGAAGTGACGAGTGGCTAAATGCCTCCCTTCCATCTCATGTCTTATTGCCAGGTATTTTCAAATAATTATTGAAAGTGTTTTAATCTGTTACTTATTAAATTGAACAATTTTTATAAGTAATTGTAAGCTTAGATTATTAGGATACATTTTAAATATGTTAATAGTTAACTCAAATTATGCTTATTAAATGATAAACTAATGTAATGCATATCTGAAAAATAACTATGCATTAGAATTTATAAATGAATTATAAATAGTTAACACTCACAGAACCAAAAATCCAGCTCATAGAATAAAAAATGAGAGGTAAACTTTATATTATTTATATATTTGATCCAATATACTGTGTGAATTAGAAATCATTTTTGGTATAATTTATGTCAGTTGTGATATATGCCTAGCTGAATATGTTTAAATGTTATTACTACTTATTATAATGAAAAAGAGTTATAAAACATGTATTTATTTATTACATATAAATTACAATGTATACATACAATATTAATTTGGATAAAATTTTATATGTTACAATATGCATTAAAAAACTTTTACTGTGTAATAACAAGCATAGAAAACAGTGTGGTGGTAGATTATCAGATCTTTTCTATCTTTGCTTAGATAACATGTTCAAAAATTATTATTTACTTTGAATGTTATGTTTATTCCATTCTTTCAGTTATTCTTAATACAGTACATGGATACTGCAAGCAAATAGATTTTCTATGCCATAAAATACATCATGTTTTGATGACTTGGCTTTACATGATATATAATTTGATTTTAGTGCCAAATTTGAACACATTGACATTTTTCTTTCTTTGTTGGTTGGATGTTCAACTCAGTCCCTGCCTAGAATCTTTAGCATGCCAGATTATCAGAAATTTCAAATAAACAGATTTTATTATGATACAGTATTTAACTTACTTATTATTTTTTTAGAGACGACAATTGTTAGATAAGGTATCTAAAGTTTTTGTGGAATGGTTCAAAATTATCAGTCTACATACAGCGGTTAACTCAAATCAGTCAGGGTGTATGAAAATGGATGGTCTGCTGAAAATGAAGTGGAACTGAAACAGCACATCAAGTCTAAACAAAGCAGTTTCAAACTCTAATGGCCAGCATCAAAACTAAAATCAGAAAAGTCACCAACTGTGGACCAGATTCCATAATTTAGAGACAGAAGAAACTAATTTTGTTAATTTTGTGTTCCTAGATAATCATTGTAAAAAAACAAAAAATCTACCAAAAATCAAACTTTTTTTTTTATGTACCTTTAGTTTTTAAAGAGCTCCTTAAAAGCTCTAGAGCTGTTTTGGTTTTCCTACATTTAAGAGCAGCAGGATATCTGTCCTTGACATGATTTATTTCCTCTTCAACTTCACTTGTTTCTTGTGCTTGGTTTTCTTATCTGAAGACAGTATTGTTGACAAAACCTTTGAACAACACTTTTACATCACTCATTGCTGTAATGAGATTGGCCTAGCTTCTTTGATATAGTTAATGGATTCTGATTTATTCAAAGCACCAACAAATTATTGATCAAAACCTGCTGTTGCAAAACAATTTGCAATGGTGCTTTGTTAACATTTCATCTAGCAGGTTTACTCCAAACTCACTCACTCCATCTTTAAAAACATTTGTCACCATCATTTATAAATAGTAAGTTTTCTGTATCATGATCTAGAAGTTGTATTTTATGATGACAATTTCTGCACTTCAATTTTTAATTTTTCTTTTTTTTTGGCAGTTGTGGGTTGAAACACCCACAACTGCCAACTGCCTCTTAGAAAAAAAAGCTCTGACATCATCCATCCTTTTTTTTTATTTGCTGCATATTGTATAAGTACATTTTGGCAATGCAAAACATTGATTCTCCAATTAATAACAATGGCAGTTTTCTTTCAGGAACAAACTTGACAGCTAATGAAGTGTTATACATTCTTTGCTGTTTTTACCTCTGACTTGAATCACCTTTCAATTCTATTGTTTTGTCTGGCAGACACAAAAAAAGTAACTCCACTTCATCATCCGCATTGAAAATTTCATCCTGGTGATAAACTTTCAACAAGCTTGTGCAAACTTGCTCTTCTTCACTTTTCCCACAGATTTTATTGAAAAATACTTCATGCTTATTCTTCAATTTATCCTGCCCTTTCTGCTTGCTTTAAATTCAGTATTATCTGAATTATTCAGCTTTTTTCTCGGAAGTTTTCTATTGGCAGAATTTTTGTCTCTATACCATATTGGCTACTTCAATACATACTTAGCATCTGGATATTCACATTTATGCTTTGTCTGATTCTGTTGTTCTTTGAAGTTTTTCATACATGTAGACCAGAGTACTCCAGTAGAATGTCAAATTCTTTCAAAATTTCATATTTTTCTGTTTTGCTTTCCTCCAGTATTTTTATTTTAGTGCTAGTAAGCATTTTGTTTACAGTTTGTTTTTCTATATTTTTTTCTAAATGTTTTTAGTTGTTTCCTGACAAATGGTAACCTGAAATTGATCAATAATCTGATCACATTTGACAGATACCTTTTCTGCCTGCTATCAAAACAAATCTTTCTCTCTTGTTTCCAAAGTAGATATAAATGGCAATGAAAATGATCAATATACTGATTAACTAGTTACTATCAGCAATAAACATGTCAATATGAGATGTGTGTTGTACAAATTTCACTGTAAAATTTGAATGTTTAGTTCCAAATAAGATATGTATAGATGAAATCAGTAATTTGCCAAATCAATCAGACATGTTCATTATAGTTTTAAATTCTCAAAATCTAAGAATGAGACTTACTCTAGGCACAAAATGTTAAAACTTTGAATTTTGTCATACAGAGGTGTATGTAATTTTATACAGTACTTCAACTTTGTGGTAATATTGTCCATCCTCTTGAAAATGTAAAATATGATCTCAGAATTATTTTGACAACATAGAATGCATTGAGTTAAGTTAGGATAATGAATTTCCTTAACTTCACTCTCAATAAATTAAATAAAATATTATTGCATTAAAACAATTTTTTGATATTAATTGACACATTTAAGGATAGTTTTGCCACGTACAATTTATTAAATTTAAATAAATTATTGGATTACAAGAGTAAATCATTTATAAAATGTTTTATTTACAGAAAAAATTCAAGTTGCTGTTGGAGTTGACCAAGTACCTTGTCAAAACCACTGCAAAAAGTAATATAATTTGTGGATAAGAAATTTTGTTACATATGCTTTATTACAGTCATAAATATATTGTACATAAATGTTTAAATAAAATTCTTTATTTAAATTCATACTCTCCTGAGTTGCTATATACAAAAGAATAATTCAGCATATTGTGAATATGTACATAAGTTATGCAGATTATACATTGCAAAGCAATCAAATTGTCTTGCTCATTTCTTTCATCTAATTAAGGCTACTCTATTTTGAACTATTGCATAAAGTGCATGGAAAATGAAAGTATAAAAATAGTTCTGTAGGACAATAGTTCTATATAGAATGTTTTTAAATAAATCAATTTAACAGGAAAGTATAAATTTATTCAAAGAATTCCTGCAAAGTAATTTAATAGAAGTCACATTTTAGATACGGTGGATATCTTTAATAAATTCTATAGCAGATTTAATTTCTGAAACCTTTGGGCATTTTTAATTAGAATCAAGTTGCTATATTATACGTTAAATTATACAGAGCTTAAATATTTAGATAATTTATACATAGCAGTGTGATATAAAACACTGTAAAAACATTTTAGACAGGCACTCCTGTTAACAGATTCTAAGTTTGCATTTTTTTAAAATGGTCTACACACTGGACATTTTCAATAGCATGAAATAGTAATATACAGACATACAACACATCTTAAATAATACATCATTTCCACTTACAAATGTGTCTAAATGATATGCAAATTTCTTAAGTCTTTCTATGTGGAGATCTGTATTTGACTTTGCATTTAAGAATGTCTGGTTCAAGTATTGGTATCTGTAAAATATTTTAGAAATTTTCCTATACAAAAAATACTTTTGTGTGGTTTTTTTTTTAATATAAAAGATGCATGCATATTTTGCAAATAAGTACAGGTTACTGGGCAAATAAAATACTGCACTGTTGCATTTGAGTTTAGATGCTGTTGACTCACATTACAAGAATAGAAATCAATTTACTTAATCATAATTATGATTATTATCAAAAGATATATTTTGTGATTATCAAAATCAAATTTTGAGCAACTCTATGCATATATCAAATTTCAGTTATGCTATATCCCATTTACCTATTTATATACCCATCCAATCCTACTCGTAAGAGATACACAGTAAGAGTCCAAAATTTAATCTTATGAAGAGTAAAACAAACATTTTTAGAAACAGGATGGTATATTAAGATGCTACATTTTTGTAAATTATCTAACTTTGCACATAATCTAAATCTTATTAGGTAAGATTTTAGCATTAAATACAACTTAATGAAATTTTATAATACACTGTATTAAACTGTACACTGTATTATAGTTTGATTTATCTACATATTTCTGTATGGATGAATAGAATAAATAAGAGAACTTCTTTCAAAGTACTTAACCTATATACAAAATATAAGAAACTATATTATACTTAAATTTAAGATATTCTTTTCAATCAGGAAACAACAAAAAATGTGGCTTTCCTGTATTATATATTTTCTGAAGTTTTAAAATTCAGTAAACTTCTATATAAAAAAAGGAAAAACAACACAGTTTTATCTATAAATAAAATTGTAAATAATTCAGCCTGTGTCAATTGTAAATTTGAGAGTTATAGTTAAAATTTTAACACAAATGTGATTTGTAAAATTTCTAAATTTTATATTCTGACTGAATATAAAACTGCATGTCACGGCACATATATAAATACATATCAGAATCCGTCAAGCACACACTATTATTGCTAATAAAGCAGTAAAAAACTGTACATCATGATTGGCATTATTAAATGACCATAACTGGATGATTTTTTTCACAAATAACCATGAATGAAATGATATAATACTGTACAAAAATTAATTTTCTTCTCTTTTTAAGTTGTAGAAGATGAACAACTATTTAATTGTCAGGCATAAGAGGTTACTCTCTTAAGAATAAAAACAACTCATCTAATAATAAATATTTTTTGTTTTGGTTTTCTTTGTTTGCCGTTCACCACTAATTCTTCCTTGCTAATTAAATAATGAATGGCTGCACAGGAAAACATTAAACTTGGCTTTCTGCATCGTTTCTCTTTGCTGAAATTGTACTATTATTTTCCCATTTGTTTTTATAATTTCATATCTGGAAAGAAAATTATTAATTATATATATTGAATAATTTGCATGACATTTTTTTTAAAACAAAAATGGATGTTAAGCAATATAAATTTAATTTAAAAACAGAATGGAACAAAATTTATCAGTCAATAAAGCTAAGATATTATTATTGTATCATTTCAAAATAAAAAATAATTGTATTATATATTTTTTAAAATTAGAAGCTAATTACAATTTAACACAAGTTTCATGGGAGATGATATGAAGACAAATTTAAAAATTATGATATTTTTATATTCTATGAACAAATATGTAGAAAAATCATCAGCATCATTTTTTCTAAGCTACAGAACTATCTAAAAATACTTCTGTAAAAAGAAAATATATGCCATTTATTTACATAGTGTTATTCTCTTGTTACATTATAGGATCCAGGTAAAATTTCACATTCTCTTCTTTAAATTACATTTGATTCTTTCCTTTACTTCATGTTAGGAACCAAATGTAATTTAGAATAAGATGTGAAATTTTACTTGAATCCTATGATATTACAAGAGAATATGATGCCATATATTTTCCACAGCCTTTTCTTTTTAAAGAGAATTACACTTCACAATATTTTTGTGTAATTTTTTAACTTAGAAAGAAAAGTCAGCACTTATGTTATTTGTTCTTAAGAAAAAAAAAACCATAAATAATTCATTTTTGAATAAAACACTATCAGAAAATGGAAACTACAGAATAAGTATATTGTGAATAGATTTTCTGTTTTTAAAAAGCTTCTTCCCATTTAAATAGAGAGAACTTTTAAAATATGATGGTTTATACAATACACTTTCTAAACAATGATATAAAACAATAAAACAGAAAAAAAAGGTAAACTTTAATGAAACTGCTTACAATAAATACTTTGAAAAGAAAAAACAAATAAGTATTTCATAAAATCTACTTATTAGTTTAGAAAATTACCACATAAAGCAGTTTCTAATTAATTTGTTATGCTGATCAAACCTGAGGAAGATTGTTAAAGACAATCAAAACATTAGGCAACAATAAATTTTGCTGAATAGTTAAAGTCTGAGTATTTCTAATTAATGGCACATACATCAAGTAACATATGTGTTTTTGATTTCAAGTGCAAGCTCTTAATGGTTATTCCCATGTTTTTCAATTTACATTAGGCTCTAGAATTAATGGAAAAATTTTTTTTATTCCCAAATAGAGAATGTTAAAAGATTGGATCAATGAGTCAGTATTTGTAGTGAAAACTATTAGTTAAATTTAACATGTCAAAATCCATACAATGTATTTTTATTTTAATTAATGACAGGAACCAAACTTTAACAGATGTATATAAATTACTCATTGTACAATACACCACTTAAAATATTGTTATTAATATATGTTTTTAAAATATATTCAATTTAATGGACTTTCAGCAATAGCAGACATCCCCTTTCTCTAATTAGTCTAGATATTAAATTGAGGGCCTAATGTAAGTTTTAAATAGTTTGCTTTTTTTATAATTCATATAAATTTTAGTTATACAAACAAAACATTAAAATAATTTCTTCTTTCAGCAATTTAAATAATTTATGCAGTATTAAATTAAGTTTGGATCATAATTCTCTGCATATATTAACTTTAATGTTCAATTCAATATCATTCAATTCATCTATGAGAAAAGAAATTATATCTGTTAAAAATACATTTTATACACAACCTAATAATACCATCTACTATAACAATATATTATAAAAATGTATTGATTGAAATATTGACATCATAATGATTACACCAGACATGGCCAAACCTGGATCCACTAGTTTTCTGTAATCTGCATCCAATTTTGATAGATTCTGACTGTTCCATTTAAAACTTCTATAAAGGTTTAAATTGTGTCTAAAACCTCAAAGTAAAGCATGAGGAATGCTCAAGTGGAGTAAAACATTGCTTAAATAGCAATATTTCTATTCCTAAGACATCTAAATCTACACTTGAAAATTGTTATGTATCATGCTGATAAAGTTGAGCATACTATTAATTATTGTAGATTAATTTATACAGTTATTTAGAGTTTTTCTTTCTACTTTTGAGAGATGCAAATGATCATAAATGATTTGAAAGTGAAATTTCCTTCCATATTCAGAATATGGTCCATATATAAGAGTTTGGCCATGCCTGGATTAAACAATTTTAAAAATTTATTAATTAGCAATATAATTTATGAAGAGAAATAATCTAAGTAAATATTGAACAATAATTCCGCTAACAACACTATCAAATAATTTTAATATATATTTAATAATAATAGATAATGCAGTTATAAAATGTATATAATACATAACCTATAAAAAATAGTTCATATCTATAATTAACATATGTACCATCTCAGCATGAATTAAAGCATGCTAAGACAACAAAAATTGCATTAAAAATGTGAAATGAAGTTTTATATGCAAGGATATTTATATGGAGTAATGCCAATAAATCAGATGTTTTCTTAATGTAAACAAGATTTAACCAAGTAAAAATTCAAGGATGACAGATACTTCTTGAGTTTAGTATCTTATACAATAGTATAATATTCCTAATGTGGAATAAACAAATATTTTGTTGTACTGTAATTTGTATATGTAGTAGTGTTGCAACGAATAGTATATTTGGCCAGGAGCGTGGCCGAATAGCCGAATATTTGCCCAACTATTCGGCTTGATTAACACACGTATGAAAATTGGCACGCAAACTGCATTATGGCAAGGACCCTGCTCTCTATTGGCCCACTGTCATTACGCTTCACCAAATCGTGTTAATTCTTGACAGTTCAGACAAGAGCGTCATGGCAGTATGTGAGAAGTGATGATATCAAATGTGGATAACAATGAAATGATCTACACATGTAAATAATGGGAGAAGGACCGCAAAGTGAAAATGTGAAAATAAATATGAAATTGAGTTGATAACATAATCGAACAACTCGATTATGTTATCAACGCAATAAGCTGCCTTGAACAAATCAAGGCAGCTTATTGGCATGAAATTCGCGGCCATGAATGCCAAACAAACAATTGTTGTCATAGACTTTGGAAAGCTAAATGCTTGTAATGAAAGTCACTTAGCATGCACGGGCAAAAGCCTGAGGTCATTTGGGCTACCAAGCTGTTTCAAATCTATGAAATCATAACTGTGACTTATACCAATGTCCTATCTGTCTCTTTTCTCCATTATCACAAGGCTGAGTCACGTAATTGTAAAATGGGAAATCTACGACGGAAAAGTGATGAATTGAAAGTATCGTGAGGACATATTATGATGTATGCATAGGCATACGTGGACTAGAGCAATAGAGGAAAGAGAAAAGCAAAGACGAGTGCTTAAAAAAGGATAGGCAGGGTCAGACCTTCAGATGTGTGACGATTCTCGAACGAATAGGTGTGTACGTGTGCTAATCTTTGTAATTATAAATTGTGAATACAAGTGACTAATATTATGTTTTTTTTTATTTTGTGCATGTTATAAATAAATATAAACAAACAGCACTAACCCGATAACATTAAATCTAAATACCAAAATGATTTTTGTTATTTCTTACTCCTGTTTTTAGGTATTCGGCCGAATAGTGATTAAATATTCGGTATTCAGCCGAATACCGAATAGTAACCAAATATTCGTTACATCACTAATATGTAGCATTCATTATATTTATTATTTNAACTGCATTATGGCAAGGACCCTGCTCTCTATTGGCCCACTGTCATTACGCTTCACCAAATCGTGTTAATTCTTGACAGTTCAGACAAGAGCGTCATGGCAGTATGTGAGAAGTGATGATATCAAATGTGGATAACAATGAAATGATCTACACATGTAAATAATGGGAGAAGGACCGCAAAGTGAAAATGTGAAAATAAATATGAAATTGAGTTGATAACATAATCGAACAACTCGATTATGTTATCAACGCAATAAGCTGCCTTGAACAAATCAAGGCAGCTTATTGGCATGAAATTCGCGGCCATGAATGCCAAACAAACAATTGTTGTCATAGACTTTGGAAAGCTAAATGCTTGTAATGAAAGTCACTTAGCATGCACGGGCAAAAGCCTGAGGTCATTTGGGCTACCAAGCTGTTTCAAATCTATGAAATCATAACTGTGACTTATACCAATGTCCTATCTGTCTCTTTTCTCCATTATCACAAGGCTATGAGTCACGTAATTGTAAAATGGGAAATCTACGACGGAAAAGTGATGAATTGAAAGTATCGTGAGGACATATTATGATGTATGCATAGGCATACGTGGACTAGAGCAATAGAGGAAAGAGAAAAGCAAAGACGAGTGCTTAAAAAAGGATAGGCAGGGTCAGACCTTCAGATGTGTGACGATTCTCGAACGAATAGGTGTGTACGTGTGCTAATCTTTGTAATTATAAATTGTGAATACAAGTGACTAATATTATGTTTTTTTTTATTTTGTGCATGTTATAAATAAATATAAACAAACAGCACTAACCCGATAACATTAAATCTAAATACCAAAATGATTTTTGTTATTTCTTACTCCTGTTTTTAGGTATTCGGCCGAATAGTGATTAAATATTCGGTATTCAGCCGAATACCGAATAGTAACCAAATATTCGTTACATCACTAATATGTAGCATTCATTATATTTATTATTTTGGATTATTTTCCATATCCATATAATTCCATTTTGTTCAATTCATAAAACTAAGTCTAGAAATAATTTTTTTGTTTTAATTTTCAGATTTTAGTATGCTTTTCCAATATTGAAATTAATAATTTCTCTCTTAAAGTTACTCACCAGAACAGTGGCATCTCATTGGAGACAATGTTCTAGATTTTTGCTGAGGAAATGTTAAAATTTTCTGTAGAAAGATGGTAATCTCAACAAGGTTTAAGATATAAAAATCTTAAGCATTATAATTTTTTATTATTAAAATGCATATACAGTTTAAACTGTTATTCTAAGACAAAATTTTCACATCAAACAACTGAAAAATATGTTACTGAAAAATTAAGTTCTGGTTTATATATTTTATATTGAAGACTATTGATATTTTTGGTTTATTTAACTGTAATTAAACAAATAATTATAATCTGAAATATCTCACTGTATTAGGAAACTGCCATTCCAACATTTATAGTATACCTATTATGAATTTAAAGAGAAAGCAAAAAATTTCAGAAAATAAATAAAAATGGCATGATTATAACAATAACTTCCTGCTTTAATGCTGTAGGTCAATTTAATTAGTAATAATATATTTAATGTGTTAGCAAAAATCATGCAGAAGATTACATAAAAGCATTTTATATAATTTTTTTCTTTCATCCAATCAATTGTTTTAATTATCAAATTTTTGTTTTTTGTTACAATAATTACCAAGAATAGATTGTAAAATAAATGAAAGCATGAATTAAAAAGCATAAAAGTTTCAATTATTATAAAACTGAATTTTACAACCAACTATTCTGAAATTTAAATCAAATGATAAACATTCCAAACTTTGATTTATTGCATTAAAATTACATAGCAAGCTATTCTAGACATGAAACTGAATAGATGTTTGATTTGGAATAAAAAATTTCAAGCATCTCTCTGCCAGGGGAAAATATAATCTCTGCTAGAGTACTTTCATAAAAGTGTTAAAAGCATTTAAGCATTTATTGATAAAAGTATAATTCTCTAAGTTTTTGTACACAAAAATCAGGAAAAATGTTAACTATTTTAAAAAGAATGAGCCCATTCAAATTTTTCAATGACAATGAATTTTAAATATGAATGGAATTAAAAATGCATTATTAATTTGAATATTTTAATGATTGTTATTGCATTTATGATATATTTCACTACTTTTTATTTTATATCAAATATAAAAAAATACAGTTTAGTTAATATAAGTGTGTGCAGTTAATAAAAAAAACTTAGTATTAAAAATGGATGAAGTCAATACCAGATTTCTTCTGGAAGTCAGAATAAAAATTTATTTTTTAAACATTTAAGAAGAAAACTATCATTGTTAGAAAATCATATTCTCAAGAGCAACTAAATGTCTGCTTATCAAGAATATTTCTTTTTATGCATTCTCTTAAAAAATCTGAAATCTTAAAATTTTAATACCCACTTCTTATTGAATGCTATATTCTGTTTTCCAAATTTAAAAACTTTTAGATACTAAGTTATTTGAAATTAGTGCAGAGTTTTTTTTTTCCTTTTTGAGAGAGAGAGATTATTTAAATTTCAAATAGACAGTTCAGTTATTTCTTGTGAGTATGATCTTGATTATTTGTCATTTAAAAATATTTAAAAAATAAGCTTTCATTATGACTTCTAGAAGAAAAACTATATTCATTATTTGGAGCTATATCTGAATTTTATTTTAGACAGGGATATTAATTTCAATAGATTAAGCCTATAATAAAAATAACCTTTACAGATCATTTTTCTCCATTTGTTTCTTCTTTACATTTGTTCAATTCACCGTTTTGTTTTTTACTTCTCCTCCTCTTCTTTTTTTCTAATAAACCACCGTTTACAGATTTTCTTTCTCGTTGCCTTTCATTTTTCCACCAGTTTTTTAAACTAGACGTTGTAACTTTTGGCCTGAAAATAATTTGACATCAAACTAAAAATATAATTATTAAAATTCAATCAATGTTTACAAAATATACCTTTCTTGTTGACGTACAGTACCCTGGTTGAGAATGTCGACATACATCTGAAGAGTTGCATGAGAAGGGCTCCTATTTGACTGATACCATTCTTTTAACATTGGCAATTCTTTAATTGGATGAAAAGTGAGCCTTCCATCACGAGGACAACCGGTAGAAGTTGCATTTGGTGGCCCTATTATATTTTTATTTATACTATATCACTTATTTTCAAATATTTAATAATTATTTTTCTTATTTGGAATAACTCTGAATCTCTTGTGAAAATATCTCATTCGGATGCTCTTTAGGTTTGTGATAGTTATATAAAAATAGTTAATATCTTCTAAAACTTTCCATTAAAAAAATCTTTGAATCAAAAAAAGAATGTATAATAAAAGCCATACTTATTTTACAATAAGTATATTCTTTATAACAACTTTAACATTTTTAAATATAATTTCTATATTTAAATTGAATTAATTTGTAAATTATTATTTATTTAAATGAATAAAATGATTTAGATTGAATTTAAAAAATTTTCATATAAAAAGTTCATATTAATTTTTAAATTTTGTTTGTTAAATTTAAGTACTTTAGCAGTGATTTTATAATCCATGGATTCTAAGGGATATAAACATTCATCAAAATTTGTTTTAGTTCAAATTGCTTATCAATAACAAATCAAAAATTAATTTTGAATTTCATACTTCTGTTTAAAATACTCAATAAATTTTATAATTGGAAATTATGTATAATACTTTTAGTAATTAATCAATCATATACATAAAATTTGTAAAACTCATATGTACATGATTTTTGCTAACTTATGATGCATTTTTAATCTAAGATATTGTATAATTAGAAGGCACAATTTAAGAAGGGTTCATATATGCTTGACTTATTTCAGAAACATTTGGATCATCAGCTTTTTTTACTCTTATTTCATATTTTTGAAGGATTTTATGAAATATACAATTTTAAGAAATGTATAAACAATTTTGTTTCTAAGCTTACATTATATTCAAGCAATAATAAAATTGATAAAATAATATAATACTGCAGAGTTTCTTATATACATACAATCCTAAAATTAAAAAAGTTATTTATTTTTCTATTGTACTACTCTAAATTATTATGCTAATCACAAATGATTAATTGATTATAAGATCTGTGCAATGTATTTTTATAGATTATGCCCAAAAAGATTCTGAACATTTATAATAAACTCAAAATTTGATACAGGAAGCTAAAATTCAAAAGATATATTCTAGAAAAGTTTGGTAATACAAAATATGCTTGCTTGGAATATATTAAAGATAAATACTTTATCTTTAATGTATTCCAAATGAAAATGTATTTAACAAAAAGAACCAAAATTACAGTAATGAATATATATACAAACTATAAATTGAACTTTTCATAGAATATGAAGTCGATTGCCAATAAAACAATTTAGATCAAAATGCTGGACCTGATTCCTGATTTATTATTCTTTTTATTGGAAAATTAATGTAATTTCCATTCTTACAGCTTTCAATCAGTTAATATACTTAAAAACTAATAATAAAAAAAATAAAGTAAGTCCTACTAATCCAGCTTTTGTTTAAATATCAATTTCAAACTGGACAAAAATAAACTTATATGGAATATATATTCTCACTCTCTTATTCAGAATGAAAAGTGTAAGTAAAAAAACAGGAATATGTTTTAGAAAGAATTAAAAAGTAATTTAACAAAGGCATCTGCTTCTTTAAGTGAAGATACTTTGCAAATTTGGCAAAGGTTATAAAGAAATCAATTGAAAACAGACTAGTCAATAATTATTATTTTTTCTAAATATCCCATTCCTAATCATTCACTAGACTATATGGAAAAAATTACTTCTATTATAAGTTTTCTTTTCAATCCTAATAAAAAAAAAATTGATTATTGGATTTATTAGCAGACTTCCAATTAGTTTTCAAACTGATAAAATCTTGGCACTGTATTGTAAGAAATAGAAATCTAAACTTCCTTTTCAGATAGCTAAATCTTTAATTACAAGTAAGAAAATTTTTAGGCCAGCTTCAGTTTACATAGAATACTTGGAATGGAACACAGATTTATGTTCTATTTTAAGTATTCTATCTAAGCTGAAACAGACATAAAACAGGTCAAAGAATTTCTTACTTGTAATTTAAGATTTGGCTAAATGAAAAAAACAGTTTGGATTTCTATTTCTTAGTTCAATATATAATAAACTATTTAGGAAATATAGGACATTATATTAATTCTCAAGCAACAGATGAGAAAAATGGCAAACTTTTTACTACTGATGAAATTGTAGATCCTTCAAAAGATAATTAAATTCTTCTTATCTGTTGACAGATATAAAATTAGTATAAAACTAAACTCAAAGCCACTTTTTTGGTACTTCAAATAAATTTAAGGAGAGACAGACTGTATTATAGCTTTTAAAAATATAAATTATCTAAAATATAGCAAAAAGTCTTTCCAGAATGTTTTTGTTATATACCTATGTAAAGTGTTATGACTATTGTAATTGCTACAAAAAAAAAAAAAAAATCACACAAAATTTTATTGAAACTTTTTAAAAATGTATAGACATTTATATTCTTTCCATTTAGAAGAATTAAGAAAACTAATTTCAAACTAGATGAAAATGGACATATGAGAGAGAAAAGATTTATTTGGAGATAAAATAATGTACAAAATCTAAACTAATAATATTTGTTTAATATTTCACTAATTATAATTCATAAATCCTATTTTTATGAAAAATCTTTTTAAATCTAACTAATAATAAAAAGGTACGAAGAAAGGTTCAAGAGAAAATAACAATAATAAATTATTAAAAAGTATTAAATTTGAATTTAAAAGGCATTTCAAAAATATATAAGTTAAGAAGTAATTAAAAATTTACTAACAGGTAACATTGTCCTTCTTGCAATAATTTAAATACCATGATCCAAATTCTTGACATTTATCTTTTCCAATTTTTCCATTATATTTATTATTCATGATGTTAGATAAAAGTGGCTGAAAAATTAATAATAGTTATTGTAAAATAATATAATTTAAATATTAAAAAGTAATTTAAAGAATTCTACCTGTGACAGTGGACACAAACTAGCCAATTTACTTTGGGACATTTCTCTTAGCAATACCAATACTGCATTTCGAACTGCCGTATCTGTCCATTCTTGTGGATTTTCTGGCATGCTAAAATAAATAATTAAATTATAGCAACATAAACTTGTAAATGCTTAATGAACTAAAAAAAAAAAAGTGATGTTTAATTAACCTGTTTGCCAACCTGTATAATCTGATATATAATGTAGCAACATTTGATAATTCTCCAAGTATTTCTCCTACTGTTACATCATTCATATCAGTAATTTGTTCAAAAGAAAGCTGCTTCCAGTTTTTTATTTGGATTGCTCCTAAATTTAAAAATAATTATTTACAACTTTACATTTTTTAAAGTGAAATTCTTATGTTTAAACTACCTTTGGCACTGACAGTTTCTGCAGCAGAATAACCCAGTCTCAACAATGCTGTCCTGACAAGTTCGTTAAAACGAATAGTTGTAGGCACAATTGCATAACTGTCAAGCTCGACCGTGGGCTGAAGACCTGCAGAGTTATCTGTATGAGGTGTACCTTGAACTTGTTCTATAATCGTATGCACCGGAATTGATTTACTGTGATTCAAAGCTATGAAAATAGTTTTAAAATATAAAATAAATTTTTAAGATTTGTCACATTAAGAATTAGAGATTACAAAACAAAATTATTACATAGTATATATGATTCTGAAAAGAAATAGAATATAAATATCTTATTCAGATATGAAAATTTAATCATCACTATATACAGGATGCATCACAAGTCAGTTAATCAATGTCCACATTTAAGAACAGTTAAAACCATTTTTGAACAGCTGCATGACATATCACTCAAAATTCAGTCACTTCCAATGAAGCAACTTAAATAATAAACACAACAACTATTATAAACTAGTCTTAAGTGCTCTAAAGAAAAAAATATTGGCAAGAACTTTTGCACAACTTTCTCAGCACTTGGCAGGAGAGTTGAGGCAATCAAAAAGGAAATCTGATTATTTTCAATTATCAATCAACATTTATTGTCTATTGGGAATTACTTCCCTATTACAAGGGGTTGTAGAAACATGTATCCATATTTATTTTTAATAAAACTATACATTTTCTTTAATTTTTTAGTTTGCATTTATTTCTCGCGTACATATGCACATATTCTTTANAAAAATAATTATATTATATATTTTTTAAAATTAGAAGCTAATTACAATTTAACACAAGTTTCATGGGAGATGATATGAAGACAAATTTAAAAATTATGATATTTTTATATTCTATGAACAAATATGTAGAAAAATCATCAGCATCATTTTTTCTAAGCTACAGAACTATCTAAAAATACTTCTGTAAAAAGAAAATATATGCCATTTATTTACATAGTGTTATTCTCTTGTTACATTATAGGATCCAGGTAAAATTTCACATTCTCTTCTTTAAATTACATTTGATTCTTTCCTTTACTTCATGTTAGGAACCAAATGTAATTTAGAATAAGATGTGAAATTTTACTTGAATCCTATGATATTACAAGAGAATATGATGCCATATATTTTCCACAGCCTTTTCTTTTTAAAGAGAATTACACTTTACAATATTTTTGTGTAATTTTTTAACTTAGAAAGAAAAGTCAGCACTTATGTTATTTGTTCTTAAGAAAAAAAAAACCATAAATAATTCATTTTTGAATAAAACACTATCAGAAAATGGAAACTACAGAATAAGTATATTGTGAATAGATTTTCTGTTTTTAAAAAGCTTCTTCCCATTTAAATAGAGAGAACTTTTAAAATATGATGGTTTATACAATACACTTTCTAAACAATGATATAAAACAATAAAACAGAAAAAAAAGGTAAACTTTAATGAAACTGCTTACAATAAATACTTTGAAAAGAAAAAACAAATAAGTATTTCATAAAATCTACTTATTAGTTTAGAAAATTACCACATAAAGCAGTTTCTAATTAATTTGTTATGCTGATCAAACCTGAGGAAGATTGTTAAAGACAATCAAAACATTAGGCAACAATAAATTTTGCTGAATAGTTAAAGTCTGAGTATTTCTAATTAATGGCACATACATCAAGTAACATATGTGTTTTTGATTTCAAGTGCAAGCTCTTAATGGTTATTCCCATGTTTTTCAATTTACATTAGGCTCTAGAATTAATGGAAAAATTTTTTTTATTCCCAAATAGAGAATGTTAAAAGATTGGATCAATGAGTCAGTATTTGTAGTGAAAACTATTAGTTAAATTTAACATGTCAAAATCCATACAATGTATTTTTATTTTAATTAATGACAGGAACCAAACTTTAACAGATGTATATAAATTACTCATTGTACAATACACCACTTAAAATATTGTTATTAATATATGTTTTTAAAATATATTCAATTTAATGGACTTTCAGCAATAGCAGACATCCCCTTTCTCTAATTAGTCTAGATATTAAATTGAGGGCCTAATGTAAGTTTTAAATAGTTTGCTTTTTTTATAATTCATATAAATTTTAGTTATACAAACAAAACATTAAAATAATTTCTTCTTTCAGCAATTTAAATAATTTATGCAGTATTAAATTAAGTTTGGATCATAATTCTCTGCATATATTAACTTTAATGTTCAATTCAATATCATTCAATTCATCTATGAGAAAAGAAATTATATCTGTTAAAAATACATTTTATACACAACCTAATAATACCATCTACTATAACAATATATTATAAAAATGTATTGATTGAAATATTGACATCATAATGATTACACCAGACATGGCCAAACCTGATCCACTAGTTTTCTGTAATCTGCATCCAATTTTGATAGATTCTGACTGTTCCATTTAAAACTTCTATAAAGGTTTAAATTGTGTCTAAAACCTCAAAGTAAAGCATGAGGAATGCTCAAGTGGAGTAAAACATTGCTTAAATAGCAATATTTCTATTCCTAAGACATCTAAATCTACACTTGAAAATTGTTATGTATCATGCTGATAAAGTTGAGCATACTATTAATTATTGTAGATTAATTTATACAGTTATTTAGAGTTTTTCTTTCTACTTTTGAGAGATGCAAATGATCATAAATGATTTGAAAGTGAAATTTCCTTCCATATTCAGAATATGGTCCATATATAAGAGTTTGGCCATGCCTGGATTAAACAATTTTAAAAATTTATTAATTAGCAATATAATTTATGAAGAGAAATAATCTAAGTAAATATTGAACAATAATTCCGCTAACAACACTATCAAATAATTTTAATATATATTTAATAATAATAGATAATGCAGTTATAAAATGTATATAATACATAACCTATAAAAAATAGTTCATATCTATAATTAACATATGTACCATCTCAGCATGAATTAAAGCATGCTAAGACAACAAAAATTGCATTAAAAATGTGAAATGAAGTTTTATATGCAAGGATATTTATATGGAGTAATGCCAATAAATCAGATGTTTTCTTAATGTAAACAAGATTTAACCAAGTAAAAATTCAAGGATGACAGATACTTCTTGAGTTTAGTATCTTATACAATAGTATAATATTCCTAATGTGGAATAAACAAATATTTTGTTGTACTGTAATTTGTATATGTAGTAGTGTTGCAACGAATAGTATATTTGGCCAGGAGCGTGGCCGAATAGCCGAATATTTGCCCAACTATTCGGCTTGATTAACACACGTATGAAAATTGGCACGCAAACTGCATTATGGCAAGGACCCTGCTCTCTATTGGCCCACTGTCATTACGCTTCACCAAATCGTGTTAATTCTTGACAGTTCAGACAAGAGCGTCATGGCAGTATGTGAGAAGTGATGATATCAAATGTGGATAACAATGAAATGATCTACACATGTAAATAATGGGAGAAGGACCGCAAAGTGAAAATGTGAAAATAAATATGAAATTGAGTTGATAACATAATCGAACAACTCGATTATGTTAGCAACGCAATAAGCTGCCTTGAACAAATCAAGGCAGCTTATTGGCATGAAATTCGCGGCCATGAATGCCAAACAAACAATTGTTGTCATAGACTTTGGAAAGCTAAATGCTTGTAATGAAAGTCACTTAGCATGCACGGGCAAAAGCCTGAGGTCATTTGGGCTACCAAGCTGTTTCAAATCTATGAAATCATAACTGTGACTTATACCAATGTCCTATCTGTCTCTTTTCTCCATTATCACAAGGCTATGAGTCACGTAATTGTAAAATGGGAAATCTACGACGGAAAAGTGATGAATTGAAAGTATCGTGAGGACATATTATGATGTATGCATAGGCATACGTGGACTAGAGCAATAGAGGAAAGAGAAAAGCAAAGACGAGTGCTTAAAAAAGGATAGGCAGGGTCAGACCTTCAGATGTGTGACGATTCTCGAACGAATAGGTGTGTACGTGTGCTAATCTTTGTAATTATAAATTGTGAATACAAGTGACTAATATTATGTTTTTTTTTATTTTGTGCATGTTATAAGTTATAAATAAATATAAACAAACAGCACTAACCCGATAACATTAAATCTAAATACCAAAATGATTTTTGTTATTTCTTACTCCTGTTTTTAGGTATTCGGCCGAATAGTGATTAAATATTCGGTATTCAGCCGAATACCGAATAGTAACCAAATATTCGTTACATCACTAATATGTAGCATTCATTATATTTATTATTTATTTTGGATTATTTTCCATATCCATATAATTCCATTTTGTTCAATTCATAAAACTAAGTCTAGAAATAATTTTTTTGTTTTAATTTTCAGATTTTAGTATGCTTTTCCAATATTGAAATTAATAATTTCTCTCTTAAAGTTACTCACCAGAACAGTGGCATCTCATTGGAGACAATGTTCTAGATTTTTGCTGAGGAAATGTTAAAATTTTCTGTAGAAAGATGGTAATCTCAACAAGGTTTAAGATATAAAAATCTTAAGCATTATAATTTTTTATTATTAAAATGCATATACAGTTTAAACTGTTATTCTAAGACAAAATTTTCACATCAAACAACTGAAAAATATGTTACTGAAAAATTAAGTTCTGGTTTATATATTTTATATTGAAGACTATTGATATTTTTGGTTTATTTAACTGTAATTAAACAAATAATTATAATCTGAAATATCTCACTGTATTAGGAAACTGCCATTCCAACATTTATAGTATACCTATTATGAATTTAAAGAGAAAGCAAAAAATTTCAGAAAATAAATAAAAATGGCATGATTATAACAATAACTTCCTGCTTTAATGCTGTAGGTCAATTTAATTAGTAATAATATATTTAATGTGTTAGCAAAAATCATGCAGAAGATTACATAAAAGCATTTTATATAATTTTTTTCTTTCATCCAATCAATTGTTTTAATTATCAAATTTTTGTTTTTTGTTACAATAATTACCAAGAATAGATTGTAAAATAAATGAAAGCATGAATTAAAAAGCATAAAAGTTTCAATTATTATAAAACTGAATTTTACAACCAACTATTCTGAAATTTAAATCAAATGATAAACATTCCAAACTTTGATTTATTGCATTAAAATTACATAGCAAGCTATTCTAGACATGAA